TTTTTTTTTTTAAATCAGAGCAGCAAAGAATTTGCAACCCCCTCCAGCCATACATACTTCATTAAAAGTGTCTCATGTATTTGTAACAAGCAATATTTTCCATATATACAAACTGCATCATTATATATGACATTAAACATGGTTAAGACACATAAATAGACAGGATCGACCTTGGACAGCTGCTTTTTCTCCCCCTCCTCCCGAATGCAAATGTACCCCAAACACTGTGTTTATTCCTTTTCTTGCAGGAAATAACATTTTGATAGTGGCTCATGCATCATCTCTTGAGGCTTGTACTTGCCAGCTCCAGGGGCTCTCGCCTCAGAATTCGAAGGACTTTGTACAGATGGTCAGAAAGGTAATTAAAAACAGTGGGCAAAGCTCTCCGGCTAATGAAACTAAAGTAATAATTTAAATCTCCTTACACTGCAGAGGAGACTTTGTTCCCAGTATCAGTTAATTCAACCCATTGTCTGAGTTTCACAGACTTAGGAAATTATGCAAGTGGAAAAGATTGGCTTAAGAAGCTTATCTTACATGTCACTTTTGTGACAGATAACACAGGATCAAAATACAAGCATACAAAGGGCTGCATGTTGCAATTGCATTTTATGCTTTGGGGATGGCAGCATCTTAGTTTCCCTTCTTAGGCCACTTCAGAGTCCTGGTGTACTCAGGGAAGTAACGTGAAAAATAACATTGCCCACTTACAGATGTTTGCCTCACTTTGACTGCGTGTTGCAGTGTTGTCTGTTTCAGCACTTGCAAGCACAGCCTGGGACCTGGAAATCTTGTCTTTGGCCTTGCTTGTTATCACTATTAAACAGAGATTTGTAGCAGAAGACTCTCACACTGAAGACATGAGAGCTAGAATAGGATCCAGATCACCCTCCCTTAGCTGTACTGGCTTTTCTGGCAATAGTGTTAGCCAATCTATACACACTCCCCCACTCCCTGCAACATGCACACAAAACTCCTTACTGCAGCTCTCTAAGTTAGATCTGCAAAGTTATCATCTGGCCTGATGATAGTTTGCCTGCAGAGATATACTTTGCAAACAGCATCTGAAAGTCCCACCCAAATCCTGCTCTCTATCAGATTGTAAATATCTTCTGAACTCTGAATTGAATTTTCCAGAGAGCCCAAGTGACTTTGGAGAGAAAATTGTAATGCCTTTTGAGAACCCCATCCTTGCTCCAGATCTATCACTACTCACTGCCTTTCTATTTTCTTTCAATATTTCTTGATGCAGATTCCATACTTGGGCTTCTGTTCCTGCGAAGAACTGGGAGATACGGGGGTTTGGCAACTTACAGACCCCCCCATCCTCCCTCTCACACACGGACCAACTGGAGGCTTTAACTGGCGAGAGACCTTATTGCAAGAATAGACAAAGCTAAACAAGCAAGCAAAACAATGGCCTTTCTAAGCATTGGAGAATGTCTCTTATATCATCTTGTGCTTATTGACAGTGGAAAAATTATATATATTTGTAACATTTTAGGTGGATCACTCAGCTGTTCTAGCATCTCTCCTATAGAGTCACATTCATGCAAAAAAAAATCTCATAAAAAAAAAAACTTAGGTGAATAGGAAAGGGCTCAATTAATGGAAGGAATATAAGAGTGTATATCCAGGTGCTTGCACTGCAGGGAATCTCTGTTGGGTCAGGAATGCAGAGCCTGGATACATTTTTCCTTCTTAAAATTGAGCTCAGATAACAAAATAATTCTCACTGCCTTCAGCACAATGTTAGTAATAACTAGGACTGTGAAAATAGTGAACTGTCAGGGGTTGGGAGTGAGGTTCAGTTGCAAAATTTTGCAGAATATATTTGCAGTTTTGTTCTGGGCCATGTTGGCACCTTCTTCACTTTCCCCAGATTGTGCTAAATAGCAGTTTTGTGTTCCCCCAGGATACCTATACACTCAACACATTCTGTAAGATATTCTACCAAGCTAGAAGAAACAGAGCTCAGCATGCCATTTGTAGGTAACTTTGAACTATTCCTGTTCCTTACTGTGTTAGGTGCCTAGATATCACACTGGTGGGCAGGTTGCAAATGCCTGAAGATAGATAAAGACGTACAACGTGGATCAGTGTCCGCAGAGAATTCTGAATCTCAAAGCAGTAAGAGGTTAAGTTCACACACAAACAACAGGACCATTTTTGAGTAAAGAACTGGAGCATTTTTTTTTTTTCCCAAATGGGAATGAAATAAACATTATTCCAGATGTGAAGGCTTCGGATTTCCGTAGCTGAAAATTCGCTCCTGTACATAAAATTTAAGCATCACATAACCACTGAATTCCACTGAAGACCTCAAAACAGGGTCTTGCTTGATGCACAGAGGTCTGAAGCTAGACATCTGCACAGGCATGAATTTCACTCCTTTCTGGATATTTCGCATAGCCCTAGCTTAAGCAGTCTTCTCTGAGGATCGTTACAAGGTCAAAAAGATAAGCTGTACATTCAGATTGGGTTGATTACTTTGCTTCCTTTTCTTTACTGTTTATGTGCTATCTGTCTGGAATACAAAGCAGAGCGGAGAAACAGTTCATTGTAATAAAGAAATTGAAACACTAGACCCATTAGGATGCTACTTTTTCATACTGAGCTAACATCTTGATCTCATTGAAGTCACAGGAACTGCCAACATAAATCAAACCAGTGATCCTTTTAGTCCAGCATCCTGTCTCTGGCAGTGGCCAGCACCAGCTGCTTCAGAGGAGGATGCAAGTGGGTGGTTATGGCATAAGCTGCTACCAGAGAAAAATGTCTTTGACTCCCAATAATTTGATTGGCTTATGCATAAGAGTCCTAAAACTTTTTGAAACAACATTTGCTTCTTTGGGCCCTAGTTCAGGACGTGGCTTAAGATCATGTTTAAATTGAACTGAATTGGACTTCAGCACACAGGAAAACATATGCTTTTTCCAGAATTGGGACTTAATTCTGTCTATTCTTTCTATCCACATACATTACTAGTTTGAGGGTTTTTAAGCCCTGCCAAGCTTTTAGGCTTGACCATGAGGGGAAAATACATACATAAATAAATAAAATCACATTAACTTCAGTGAGATCAGATTTAGCCTCATGTTCAACATACCCCATTAACCTAAAGTAAAAGAGCCCACTCCCTTCCTTCTTGAAACAGATAAAATCTGGTCTTGTGGGCTTCAGTGCAAGATCAGAATTTCAGAGGCGCTAGCTACGCTTGGTCTAGAACAATAGCAACTAGCTTATGACATGGAGCTTACCAAGAGAAGTATAGCAGATACTGTACAGAACTTGAATCAACAAATAGCTCACTCTGTGCAATATGTACATTTTCATGACACATAACAATAGTCCATTATTTATACACTCACAGTATACGTAATACCTTGTAGGACATTCGTAAATGCATTATTATACCAGGGATGTATACTGAAAAGTCAGGGAGATAACTTATATGGCAGAAAGACACTGCGCTGATATCTGTGCAGTTATATTGCTGTCACTTTTATTTTTAATTATAATTTAAACTATTTTTGGCTATGTACAGACCTTCTGAAGAGTGTTTACTGCTTGTTTTCGTCCATGCGTACTCATTGCAAACTTGCAACGGCATTTATTTAAAATTAAATAAATAAATGACAATCAAACCAAAAATAAATTTGGCTATTGGTGTATATTTAATTATGTGGATAACCTACTGTTACATGCTGCAGGCTTGCCAGATATAATATAGTATGCTGGGTAACAGGTATGCAAACTGGTGACAGGCTATCCAGATTCAACCTTTATTAATCACCATTACAGGAATTTGTTTAGACAGTAGCATGTAATATGTATGGAACAAAACTTATATGCATAAAGTGTTTAATATTGTAACCAATCCTTACATATAGTTAGTATTTTAAAATAAGTGTTCAGTTTCAGAAGGGGGGAAAGATCTCAAAATTATTCTCGTCTTACAAAAGTATATTTTTGGATGTTTGGGAAAGTATTTTGGCAATTGCAGTCTGATCTCACATTTTAATTTCATGTGCCAGGAATCTGAGGGTAAAAAAAAATTACTTTCTTGAGTATTTTATTGTGTATGAGGGGTTTTAAGTTAAGGAAACTAGTGCCAATAAGATACGTTTTTATTCATTTTAAAACCATTTCAATGCATTATTGAAAGAAGATAAAAACTTTTTAAGGAATGTGTAATTTATTTAGAAAATTCAGAAGGAGTATTGCTGCTTCCCATTTGGCTACATTGCTACTTATTGCTGTGCCTTCAACAGCACTTTTGTGTTTTGTCCTGGAAGAGCATAGGTCTGATCCAACCGGAACGAACATCAGTCTTTCCTTTGACTTCCCCAGGAATCCGATCAAGTCCCTTCCATTCAGTTCAGAGTAACTGCAGTCATTAGATACTCATCCAGCCTTCTGGATAAAGAATAAGGCTGAGAATCTTGCAAGAGCAAACTGGAAATTCCAGGTTTGGGGTCATGTCAAAAACAACATGAGAATCAGAGACGCAGTCCAAGTCAAGCGCAGTTGCAGATAAGTGGAGATGCTCAGCAGCCACAAGAAGGGTGAAAGATGGGCTTAGATAGAGGAAAAAAAAGGATATAGAAATCTATTTTACCGATTCAAAGGTTTCTCCAGTGCTTGCTGGGTTCCAGGAGTATGGCCTTTATCTGAATGTTTTGCCTATACCTCCTGCCCTTAAGTGCAGCAGATGGGGTTGCAACAGCCAAAGGCCTTGATCCTGCCAACTCAGAAATGCAGGTATACCCCTTCGCCCACGCAGGCTCCACTGACGTATATGAGATCCTACCTGTCACACCATTGTCTCTGCCGGACAGAGGACACACTGTTCCCATTGTGCTGATATATGATTTTGTCCATTGTGTGTGGCCATTTTACTGCAGACACAGGGTGCTACATTTGCAGGGTGCTGCATTATAAAGCTCCCTTTATATTGGGTGCACTGGTAGCTACAGCCAACTCCTTACTAGGGCCAGGCCTCCAGCTGGTGTGAAGGGCACCACTCTGTTGAAAATCAACAGATTATGCCTATTTACAGAGGGGCACAATAGCCAAGTGATTAGGGTATCTTGCTATAGCTCAGTAATCTGAGCCTTGCTTTAGCTTCATGCTCAAGTCCACCTTCCAGATGTGAATGGGTATTCAGGGGAGATGTGGCTGGAACGATGTCTGCCACCTCCATCACTCCCTTGTGTGTTTTTGGTTACAGAAGCTGCTGTGCCTTAACCACACTAGCCCAATGGGCTGCTAGACTGTGATGCCCCTATGCATTAGCTGAAGGTTTGAACTGTTAATTTCTAGAAAGTCATTTGAGAAAATTTTAAAAGCAGCCAACTTTTTCTGTGGCATTCATTGCTTTTTATTATGGCTATTCTGAGCATTAGAAGTGAATCTGCTGTAACCAAAGAGAGCGCCATTTTGTAGCAAAGAAAAAGAGTTGCGATTTTGCAAGAAAGAGAGGAAGGGAAGACAAATCTAGCTTGCAGCATCCCAGCCTAGAATTAATACCTTAGGGACTCTGATGCTGTTAGATTTGTATAGAGTGCCTCTATTTTAAAGAGGGTTTGTAGTTGTATATAGCATCGTCATCAATGCAGCCTTTCCCCTTAACTAGCTGACAGCTGATTGAAATGAAGTCTTTTTTTTCCCCATTTCAGTTATATAGTGTTCTTACAAATGGAGGGCCTGATTCAAAGCCCGCTCAGGCAAATGGAAAAAATCCCCATAATTTCAATGGGCTAGGGACCATGCTACACAAGATGCGATCCTGCTAAGTGTTCTCTACCCTCAACTGCTATCGACCTCCGTGGGAATTAAAGACACTTTATTGCTGACAGTGCTGAGCCCTTAAGGCCCCGATTCAGAAAAACACTTCAGTAGGTGCTTACATCCCATGGATTTAAGTGGAAGCTAACTGAAGAGTACTTAAGTGTGTTTCTGAATCAGGATGCAAAATGAACTTGATATTAGATGAAATTCAGGTCTATCTTTGCTGGGAAATCCTTCTCTGTGCAGTTAATTGAAGTCCTTGCTGTGAGACCTAGAGGCATTGCTTCTCAAGTGTATAGTTTAAAAGCAACAATGACTTGCCCTGTTGAACCAATGGTAGGTTATGAACATACTCAAATATAGATGAACTGCAATTCATGTCAACATGCTGTAGAGTAGTGGTAAGTTGTACACACACTACTGTGAACTTGGGTAAAACACAGAATGTACATTTAAATTGCATTCCTATAGGTGCATACAGGAGAGGACATAATATAGATAGCTGGTATATGGAGTTGAGCTGATATTTAGCATCCGATTACATTCACATTCATTTTGAAAGAGGGACATAGGATATTTTAGTCAGGCAGCTGCCAAATGATTTTCATGTTTAAACACAGGACTGAAAATTGATTTGCTGTATTTATGATTAGACTTCAATACTTAAAACGTATTGAAATTCCGTAAGACAATTACTCATAAGAAAGAACAAGTCTAGTAGTAAAAAAAAAAAAACCTCTCTAAATGTAGAGAACATCATTTTAATCTTAATGAGACATGAAATTAGGTTAGCAGCAAATATGTTTAAAATGATGTATAATTGATTAATCAAGCTGTAAATGCAATTGATTGCATACACTCCTCAGATGCCATTTAGATGACATTGCTTCCTCAAATACCTGAACACATTTACTGCTTGAGTATTAACGAGATGACATAATATACTGGAAAAATATATGACCAGTTTCTTTTTATTAACTTATTTTGTTCCCACTAAAAAGTACTTTCTGTGGGCCATTCTAAGGACCTGATCTTTTCAATGGACACACTTTTTTTTTTTCCATTTAAAAGCTATTGTGTAGTTCTGTTTATTATGTTTTCTGTGTGATCAGATTGTATTTATTTGAGGAAAAAAATGTTTGTTGTTTAAAGAAAACAATCATTGTATTGCCAAATAATTGCAGTAATTCCTTGTGACATCTGTATCTTTTTTTTTTAATCTCGGTTTCAAGTGCTAACAACTGTTGAAGCCACCACCACATTTTGATTTGCTGTTACATTAAATGGATTTCTCAAAAGCTAAACAAAATGGTTGACAGATGATTTAATAAAGATGTTGTGCATCTAGAATAAAGCCCTTTGACTGATATTTTGCCTATCAAGTACATTTAACCTCCTATTCCTACCTAAATTGAGTAAATCTCAAGCAACTACTCCTATAAAGCATATAGTGAGTTACAACCCAGTGCAGAAAGCTAGAGCAACAAGTCCTGTGCATCACAGATATCCCATTTTGAAGCCTTCAGCAGAATTTATACGGCACATAGACCCCTTCCAGATCATCTTCCCCGGAAGTCAGCTGCATCTTGTGCGAGTTACCTTGCTCAGAGTTTCTCAGGGTTAATAAATATACTACTGATATATAGAGGACTTCATCATTTGGGGCCCAGCTCTATTTCTGTTGATTTCACTGGAAGATGGATCAAATCCTTGATCTCTTTTCCACACAGTAACCTGTGTGAGTTTTAGGTATATAAGATTAGAAGTGCTAATTTTATTTCTAAAGATGCACCTAATGAAGAAAGTATCTTCCTTTTTATTGATTTTCCTCTAATATCAATTTTCACAGTGCTCCAGTTATCCCTTTTGCTTCCTAATTATATTAAATGCCATTGCCTGGCATTCCTGTTTCTCTTAAAAGCCGATTATTTTATGGCTGCAATATAAAAGCCTTATGTTCTTGTCAATTGGACAAATGCTAATGAGGCAACATATTTGCATGCATTGATGGAAAGTCTGAAAACACAAAGAGAAAAAGGCTGTAATAAACTGCATCTTTTAGCAATCACAACAGAGAATGTATCCACAATCAGCCATTTCTTCCAATTCATTCAGACAATTCCTATGAACACACCATCTTTTTTAGCCAAACCAGCTTCTTTATTAACAAGCAGATTTTCTTGCCAATATTGACCACACTTGCACTGAAATTTTTTGCTGCTACCCAGAAGGAGCATTTCAACATCGTGTAACATATTAAACATGCCTCAGCACTTCACTCACCATATAAAAATAACCCCAGTAAACAACAGGCATCGTTTAAAACCTAGCCATGCGGGTTTATGGGCATATGCAAAACACGCACAACTTCCTGTAGGATCATTGTGAAAACTTCCAGGATTACTAGAGGACAGAGCTCTATTCTACTCTGCCACTGGTCTTCTGGGCGAGACAGCAAATCTGTTCACCCTCTGTGCCTCAGTAACAAGGCTTTTGTTGGCTGGGTTCATCAGCACCAAAAACAACACCCACAAAGCATTCACTTAGAGGAGTAGCTGACCTAGGCATTGGGAGCTGCTCCATTGTCTAAGGAGTCAGGAAATACTTACGGCATCCAGGACGGAGTCCTAGTCAAGTGCAATCTTTATTGCCCCTCAAGCTACAGCCGTAGGGCCATGATACACCCTACTGTACGCACATTTAAGGTATTAGCGTGGTATCAATTGCCTTAGTATCAAAGCAGCTCACAGTCCAATGCATTTGTCCTCTCAACAGCCCTATGCACTTGGGCAGTGCCATCATCCCCATTTACAAAAGAGGGGACAAGGCACAGAGCCTAGGGTGCATTTCTTTGAAAGGTATTTAAGCATCTAAAGATGCAGGGTGGGATTCTGAAGAGTTGATGAAAATCTCCTGCACCTTCAGGCACTGGTTCCCCAGCGATCTGTATTTTTTCTACCATCACCTCCTTCCCATGCTTACGACAGCCCCCCACAACCTTCAAGCCCAAGTGTGACTTGATACAAGATAAGAGGTCACAACGCCTGCTACCCTACACTTTTAGCACATACAGGAGGTCATTCAAGTTTCTTGCCAGTGATCAGGGGAAAGGAAACCACCCAGTAGGAGGGTAGGAGGCTAGGTGACACCAACAGAAAATGGAGAGGGAGGCAGAGCCCCAAGTGTTGATGAAGTCATGGTAAATCCACTCCCCACCCCGTTGAAAAGGAACCAACAGCAAGAGCCGGTCTGTGCTTCTACAGTAAAGAGGAAGTTTGCAGAGTAGCAGCCGGGCTGTATTACACACCACAACATGACTTTCATCACATTGCTTTGCCTATTGGCTTTGTTACCGCTGCAAGGTAAGTGACATTGATTGCTTTATTCAATCCTCTGCCTTAAAAGCTCTTACGCTGAATTATTCTGTTTTCAGAACTTCATTGAACCTACTGCAGGATGCATTTTTTTCAGTTGTTAACTACATTGTATTATTCTTCTCACTTGCCTTTTCCAGTAGGGATTGCTGTGACATAAAGGCTACTAAAATCCATTTAGCCTAAAGTCCAGTTGATAATCGCCCACCTTATGAGACCTGGAAGCTTAGTCAGGAGGGCTGGGAACCAGGAACTCCTAAACTTCTCATTTTGCACAATGAGTCATGATCAGAAGTAGCCTGCATGACCCTTTGTTTTGCCCAGCCATAAAATGGAGCCAAGAACAGCTGCAAAGAGTAACTTAGTCTCTGAAAAATGCTTTAAAAACCATAAAGCGCAATAAATGCTTGGTATTATTAGTCTTCTAACAAGCTGCAGATTAGGATGCATCTCATCTCTCCGGCACACCCAAGCCAGGATCACATGTGGACAAGTCAAATAGAGATTTAAGGTTTAAATCATGGAACAAGCACATCTGCCATCTGTAGATAAGGATCCTTGCAGTATTCACTCTTGATCCTTGCCGTTTCCATTTCTGATCATTAAGCCATGCACGTGTGGTCCTAGCAGAGCCCAGTATGAAATCCCAAAGGATCCCCTCTCTCCACTTCTTAAAGCTTTAAGAGCAGAAACTATAGAAAGGCATCACGTTATCATGGTAATAATGGAAAGCTTCTTTGAAAATAATGCAAAGAACATCACTATAGTTTTATTCACCTATTATGAATTAGAGCCCAGATTAAACTTCATTGTCAAAAGACCATATTACAAGGTGGTATTCTAGTGTTTTCTTTATTAGTAATTGTGCTAGTTTACATAATGGTAATCCTTTGAAAATGTCAGCTTTATCTTTACCCAGACTGATATGGTTATCTTGGTATTGGCAGTCTCCCTTGTACCTGGTCTAGGAGATGTCCATGTGATACTAAACATCTACAAACTATGACTAGTGAGGCAACAGTATTCAGTATTATTGAAGACGTCTGACAGGCTGATGGGGCTGACTACTCTCTTCTGTCCTGTCAGGAACAAAAGCGGGCACCATTGGCCTCAGAACAAATGAACGAGGGTCTAATGCATCATCAAGCAAGACACAGGCAAGGCCCTGTTTACTCTGCAGCTTTTAAACTGGCAGCAGAATTCACTCCTTGCCACAGAACTGTGCTCCAAAATTTCACCTTTGTAAAAGGTAGCTGCCTTATGGTTGTAAAGACAACCTTGAAAACAGGAATACAACATGCACTACTGCAATGATTTCTGCCTCAATCAACAGCTCTATGAGGCATGAACTAACCTCACTCATCTCCGTTCTCCTGCTTCTTGCTCCCCAGCCTGGCTGCATAGAGCCAGGCAGAGGGCAGGGAAGAGGACAGAACTGGCTTCTCCTGCTTCCTGATGGCAAGCTGAAAGCTGACTGTGCAGGTGCTTAAACAGTCCTTCCTCAACAGCAGATGCCAAGGTCCCCGTGGCTGAGCAGAGCCCCTGAACCTGGCTATGAGCAGCTTCCTCTTGTCAGGGAAATCCTATCCTCCAAAAGAAAAGCACATTTTACTGCAAGATTATTTTTCAGTTGTGAACCATAGTAGTGTGCAGTCTCCTGCTTCCAACCTCTGAAGGGCTTTTCATGATAGTAGAGTGTATTAACATTGCCAAACCAGACAGGTCAGCTCTGTGGGAACAGGTCCCAGGAGGATGATCAATTTTGCCATAAAAAAGCTGATGGGTTTCTCTTCATTTGTCCTCCTCCTCCTAACGTCCCCCATGGAGATGGTATTGCTCTAATGGGGCTGTGCTGTCAGGAACTCCCCACAACCAGCACACTGGGAACCCCCAAAGGCTGCTTTAATTTATTCAATGTGCCAACCAGCCTCGGGGCCATTACAGCATCTGTAGTTGAGCAAGATACAGCAAAACCCTGTCTCTCCTTCACCTGTCCACAGGAAGTCAGGTTGGGATAGGTATTTATAAACCACTCAAGTATGTCCCTATGCACATCTGTGCATGCATATGTATGTTTAAATATTTGCCTGTGTTTATGCACGTCTGGTTTGTGCACATCCTTTCACAGCATCTGATGAAGTGAGCTCCAGCTCACAAAAGCTTGTGCTGCACACACACACACGCATATATAAACTAATTTAGATCATCTATAAGGTTCGAGTCTACCCTGCCTTCAGATTAATGCAGCTGGCTCTCTCTCTATGTCCCTATGCCAGGATGATCCTATCATGACCAGCTACCACTGCTTCAGGACCACTTGCTGATAGCACCGTGCAAAGTTGGTCCTTGGCAGGGAAGTGGATTTGCCCTATGAGTCATGGGTGACAAAGGTCCACTTGCTCACATGGAAAGTTTGTGCGCTTCCAGTTTAGAGGGTTTTTCTTTTCTTCTTTTATTCTAAAGAGCATTTTACCTTTCAGACTCTGTTTCTCACACCTCAGAGTGTAAATTGAGAGACCCCTTCACCCCCCTCATCCTGCTCACAGTGACAGGAAATAGTAAATATAGATGCAGAAAGGCCCCTGTGGAGAACCACAGATGAAGTTGTCTGAGCTACTCTAACAAAACAAACCTGGTGATACATTTGATAAATGGAAGTATAGGTGACTCACAAAAGGAATGTTTTACTTGAGGTCACCAGGCCTCTGGCTACGGCCTCCAAATGCCACGAACCCTGAAAACCTAACTTATTGTTATTTCCCCATTACATTGGGTCCTTTTCACTTTAAAAAAAATTAATTTGGGGAGCTGGAGAAGTCATTGAAAGTAATACAAAGTCAAAGTCACTTAAACAGAACATGTACTACCAAACAAAGACACTTCAATAGAAGAAATCCCAAAAGAAGCAATTTCTTCCTAAATCACAGCTTCAAGTTACTTAAATGGGGATAATGTTTGGCTCTGCACCCTCCAGTAATGCTAATACAGCTAATAAAGAACACATCGTGCTCCTGGCTTGTCTTGAGCACCTAGGATATGGCTTTGGCATTTATAATATAAATGGAAGCCTAAAGCCATGCTTGTTGAATGAATTTCAGAAATGTGATCATAATGCCAGTCATGGGTTGACCACATAATCTAAAGTAATTAGAATTTACCAAGTATCCCAATATATAGTTTGTTAATCAAGGCACCACTTCTATTATTGAGCATAGCTCTTTCATCTTCCTCTTTTTTCACAACTTAAGCCACTGAGCTGCCTTGAATGAATTCTTGCTTTAAGTCCAACAGCTGTGGTTGGGCTAGAATATAATGACAGGTCTCCCCTTATATGGTTGTAATTCAAGAACATTCCCACAGAAAAGTCAATGGAATTTTATTAGCTTAAAGTGAAGAAGACTCAAGCCTGTGGTATCGCCTAATAGCCCATAACTCACAAGGCTAAGTCAGGATAGAAAATAGACTCAGATGAGTCTTTCCTTAGTACAAGACAGCATCTTCTGTGCTTCCTAGTCCTGTCCAGACTAGGAAGCAAATTCTGTGGGGCCTGGTCCTCTTCCTCACCTGCTTTAAACAAATTACACCTTAACCATTTAACCAATCCCATTGCAGTGACAGGGCATCAGCCCCCCAGTTTTGTTTTTTTATCTGTTAGCAGGCTGTACGGTTTTCCTTGTATTTCTGGTTTTGTGCCTTATAGTTGTGTGTGAAGATTTCAAGTGGCCATTTTGGGAAATCCTTAGCTAAAATGTTGCAGGCGAGTGGAGGGGACTGGATTTCCTGGCCCAGGTAGCCTCTTTCAGTGCTGTGTTCCCAAGCCCCACGAGACAAGTCTGTTCTGCAGCAATATCGGCTGACAAGGCCAGATAATTATGACGAGATTGCCCCAGATGACAGAGAGCAGAGGAATCTATCCGGCTCGACAAAGCACCCCCTTTTACAAACAGTCACTTCTCTTTGCCACTGCTGGGTTGGGAGAGCACATGTAATCCAGTGTGGAGTGAGATAGGGCTATGGATCCCCATCTGCCTTACAAAACTTCCACTGACTTCAGTGGCAGCCAGAAGGACATACAACATTGATTTTTTTTTTTTTTAAGTAAAACTAAAAGGCAGAAATCAAAAGCTTTCCTGTAACTCAGACAAAAATCATTTCCCTAAAGTTCAGAGCCCCTCCACCCACTAGTCACTCAGTGCAGACACAGGCCTGAAAAAACACTGATTGAAAAATAAATTCCCATAAGTGCCTATTTATTTAACTCTGATACAGTTGCTGCTGTTCATAATTTCTCCAATGAGCGTTCGCTTGGAGGAGGCACTTCATTTAAGGTCACAAATCATTTTCACAAAGTATATTGCAGATTTCAGCATGATCAATTGGGACTGTGAAGAAACAGCCTGCATTTACTGCCTGGATGTAAAGCCAAACAGGAGGAAAAAACAGAATCTCGTTTTAGTTGCATATATTGGGCCAAAGCCTCAGATCTGGACTTCAGTGGAGCTCCATTCCAGTTTACTACAATGGAGCAGCTTTTGAACAGAATAGATTTGATTTTCAGAGGTGCTGAACGTATACAGGTATTAACTTCAGTGGCAGCCACAGCTGTTCGTTACTTCTGAAAATCGGGCTCAGTAATTCAAAATGTATCCTCTTTTCAGTCATTGGATCAACTTTGGTCCAGACTAATAATTAGAAGAGACTTTATTCACTGAATGAATCTATTATTGTCTTCACTGGCCTGTTAGGTTGATAAGCCTCAAGCCTTGGCTTCAAAACCCCTGCCACAAACCTTGGTTCTGTTGGGAATTTCAGATAAAAGCCTACAGGTCAAAGAGATGAAAATACTGAAGCCTCTTCTCATCCATGGATGAACCAGTTAAGAAGTTTATTTTGGAATAAAAGTGTCTATATGGGGAGTTATACTGATATAATCAGAGCGGTAAAATTATACCAGTATAGTCAAGCTGCTGAATTTCTCCATGTAGATGCAACTTTCTTTAGAAAAAGAGCAGGGGGCTCGTACAGTGTGCTTTGAGAAAGGCTGCCGCTTTGCTTCAGCTCATGTTTCACAACTGTTTTCTTTGGCAGGGGATTTTCAAGAGGTTCACAATGAAAGTGTGACTGTGGAGGACGGAAAGGATTTAAAGCTACTCTGCAATATGCCTGGAGACGGCAAATCACACTTGCAGTGGTCAAACCCGCAGGGCTTCATCATTTTTCTAAATACCCATCGGGGTAAGTGTGAAAACCACGGCGCAAGCTCCTTCCCCATGAGGCAGGGGAAGGGTAGGCTTGCCTAGCTCCCACCTAATGTGCCATTTGACTCAGCTAGAGCCTAGCCATTTAGATCTTGTGTGCAGTTAAGCCACTTTCCTACAGGAGGTTGATGAAATGGAAACCCCACCAGAGTAGTGTGTGAAATGGGCCTCAAATGATGAGCCATACTTACCACAAACACCCTTACCCCCTGTGCAGAAACGTGGCCTGGTCTTAAAGGGACTGAACATGCTGTTGATGCCATCTGACTGATCCAGGCAGCAGTGGCTGATCCATTGCTTACAGTCCCCATTGTTATTTTCTCTATCAAAAGAGGCAAATGCTTGGCTAACAAGTGGGGTGACCAGTGACTTCTCTAGCTGTGGCGACTGCCAAGCTATATAAACATATCCACAGTTACCTTGTCTGCCCCTTCCCAGGTCCTGCCTGCACCCGTATACCATTTCATCATTCCTAGACAGTAAACTCTCTGGATTAGGGAGTGCCTTTCTGTTATCTTTTGTGCATTCGTTCGCCTATCACGAAGGGGCCTGCTTGTTTTTAGGACTAGTCTGCTCTACAAAGCTTTGCCAGGAGAACCTAGAGCCCCTCCCCACACACACACGAAATTCCTCTGCAGCACCAAAAGCCTCCTTTAAACCAGCTCTGCCAAGCACTGTAAGGTTTCTGTGGTTGTCCAGAAGCCAACAGAAGGCACGCGTGGGAGCATGGCACAAGGTGCAGGAGCTTCTTTTGGCAACAGATGCTTCCCATTGCCACCCCACTTTTTTTAGGCATGGGTTTTTCCGACTCTGGGAACACCTGCATGTGCAGTGTGAGCAGCATTGCAGATGCGTCTGCGGTGCCGCATATTGCACATCTGTATTGCAATATTGCACATCTGTTCATCTGGACACACCTCTGAGAGCAAAGTTATCATGAGGCCTGCAGTCCAGGCACCTGGGGAGCTAATGTTAAACGGGGAAATGTCTCATGAGTCTTGGTACCTGAACCAGGACTTTTTGAATCATAATTTGGGATCTGGGTGTCTGAACTCCACATAGGCCCTGCTTAGGTGCCCATGTCCTTTACTGGATACAGCATTCAGGCATTTGCAAACATCCTGCCAATTTGACTTCAATCCCGACACGGTATTACAATACACAACAGAAGTTATCAAGTGCAGTCTACACAGTCAAATCCTCACTAGCATAACTGTGCCTATTTCATACCAGCTGAAGATTTGGCCCTAATCCTAGAAGGATGTGTGATAATCTCCCAGTTGAATGTATAGTATTATATAACTACGAAATATGAGGACAAGCATTTGTAAAAACCCCCGATCAAAACATCAGTGTTTTTGCTTCTCTCCCATGTTAGTGGAGGAACAGAGCTCTGCACCACATGCAGACACTCATTTTCATTCTGAATAAATCCCATAAATGCTTCTTGTAAGAAGCTCTGTGACAAACTGCCCAATTAATCATTTTCTTCTACCCTCTTTAGATGTGTGCGCCTAACCCAGCTCTCCTTCATACATTACAGAAATTTGATTTTTTCTCACATTTAGTCATTTCCAATGGTTAAAATGCTCCCTTACTTTCCTTATTAGTCCAAATATTTTATTTTTCCTTTTCTTTCCCATGAGGCTTTTCAAGGCTTTTAAAAATCAGTTTGAGGTCTTGCAGTCTCCCTGGTGGCAAGTCCAGTTCCTCAATTTCAGTTCACTTTAAAGGCACATGGTTACTCTCGCTGCTGCGATTGTGGTGAGAATCAATGCACATTGCTCAGCTCAGACTAAGGGGTCACATAGCAGAAAGAGGAAAGGAGGGGCTGAGTAGCCAGACAGAGGATTAATATGCTGAAGGATCTCTATAGCTTAGGGAAAGTGTTCATTAAAGGAAGACTGATTAATCAAAGTTAGAAACAAGGTTTGCAAATACAAAATGTTACTGAATCCAGAGGAAGGTGTAAGGTTATCATTACCTTTCTGTTAGTCACAGAGAAGTAAGGTCCAGAGAAGTGAAGTGACTCGTATAAGGTCACAGAGTGATTGGGACAGAAGTGCAATAAACCGATTTAACCTAAATCAATCAAGTCTGATACTGTGTACATCCTAAACCAGTTCAGTGCATATAAACCACTTTCAAAATTGCTGAAGCTGCTGTTGTGTTGCAGATTTGAACTGGTTTCCGATTGCTTACACCGGTTTGTGTGTAATTTCTGTCCCTAGCTAGCGAGTCATTTTGAGGGACAGAAACAGAACTCAATTCCCTCAAGTCTCAGTTCTCATGACAGCACAGCCCCTTCCACCTCCCCAAGTTTCATCTTTCTAGCCACTTAGAGAACCCAAATCATCATGGCATCTGATAGCTACAAACAAGCATACATGAATTCAGCCCTAGGGAGGGAGGAATGTCTAAGAGGATGAAGCAGCATGTTTTGGTGGAAAGGACGATGGACTGGGAATCAAATTAGGGTCTGGACCCGATGATCTTACAAGGTCCCTTCCAGCCCTAACGTCTATGAAATAATATACGTTGTGAACCTGCTCTGGCTGCTGTCTGATACAGGGCAAGTCATTTCCATGTTTTATCCACCCTCTCACTTTTAGTTTTTACCCCAAAGAGATTTATCAGTTAAAATAAATCATATGAATTAGAACCAAGTGCAATGGGGCCTCAGTCTTGGCTGTGGCTATAGTAATGGTAATGGTATACCCATTTAACAGATGGAGAAAAGGGGCAGAGAGATTAAATGATCTGAACAAGATGAATCAGGATGTCGGTAGCAGAGCATAACCATGACCTCTGGTTACCCAAGAGCCAGAAGGTCTTGCATACAAGCCCAACCTATCTGCAAATCATTGTGTTACTTCCACCTCCACATACTGTATATTTTTAGTCATCAGTACATCTGTATTTCCCAGCTCCAGCTATGAATGTTTCACAGTAGAATTATTTGTTTACACTGAAAGCAGATGAATTTTTAAAAGTAGTTCACTCATGGTTAATAAAACCAATTTCCCCCATTATCACTTTGCATAATTGTGTTGCTCTCGGCTCCCTTAAGCCAAGGGACTTACTACACCATCCTTGTTTTTTCCCCCCCCTTTCAGGTTTGAGAGACAAGAGGTTCAAACTTATCCATTATTCAAAGGATGAATTATTGGTCAGCCTGTCTAAAGTAAGAGTACAGGATGAGGGTGTGTATACATGCTTTCACTATGGCACAACGATCAGAACGAAGACTGTGAATGTTATGGTGTTAGGTAAGTCCCAATGAAAGAGTGAAATATATACAAGTACCTAATAAAATCTAGGCTCCTCCTATCATTCTGCCCAAGAACAAAAGGTTACCACATTATACTTTAGTTTTAAGTACTGATATTGTAGTGTTCCCTAGGTTCAGTGACGACCGGTATATGTGAATGAGGAGAACTAGACAAACTTTATTTCTGGAGCAGTTAGCCTTTGCAGACCCTTTGTCCGTCTCTCCCAGGAACTGGTGAGGGACCAATGTCCCAATTCCTAGGTCTTCTAAAGTAGGAAGCATCTCTGACGTCTAACTTTTACCACCACAGACGTGACATGCCATGAATAAATAACATCTGTGGATAGTAAAACATAGGAAAGGAGGAAGGCAGTCACTGGGAAGAAATAAAGCCATTTCTTTGTGTGGCTCACACAACTGGATTGTCAAAATTACTTGGTTAGGGAAGATTTGTGCTTCTTAATCTTTCTGAGAAACTGAATTGGGGTTAAGGAGGGTCCTGGCATCACAGACCAGTTCTCGCAGACTGCTGTTTAAATCTGTGGCACACAAAGACAGCATGCTGTAAAATAGTGCAATGGATCTTGGCTGGGGCATCTGGGAGCTCCTGCAACTGAAATCATGAGTAATAAGATATTGCAAGATGTGTTTAAAATAAATCAGTCATGAAACCGAGTGCAAAAGGATGTCCTAGTTCATTGTGTCTTCTTGTTGCAGCGGCTCCTTCCAAACCACAGTTGGAGGCATCAGATATTATTGCTGATGGCAAAGGAAGAAACATTGTGCTAACTTGCTCCACACAGGGAAGCAAGCCCCCTCCCCGCATTACCTGGCTGCTAGACAATGGGATAGAAGTCTCTGGTAAGTTTTAAATAGTGGTGGTCAGACTTTGTTTTAAGTATCATTTCTTTATCGTATCACCCTTTAGCGCATTTACATGGGAGAATGAGACACTTACTGCACAAAGTACCACTCTGCCCCTTGGTCTCGGATGGAGGGAACTCAGCCCCTGATCTTGGAGGCCAGGGAACAAGATAATGGCTGAATTTCAGAAAGTTTTTCTTGGACTCCCTGTAGAGGGAAGGGCCCAATATGAATGTTCACATCAGACTCAGAACAGTCAACCTTGTGCCCAAGTTCAAGGATTTTACAAGCCCAACTCCCATTGAGATCCAGGAGACTTAGGACCTCTGAGGATCTGTACCTTAGTACTCGTAAGAATTTTCAAAGCACACGTGAATTAACACTCTGAACACCTCTGGGACTAAGCTTTCTCATCTATAAAGTGGGGCAGTGGATGAACACCATGTGCCAGGGCACAGAGTAACTGCTCACACCAAGTCCCATTGTTTACAGAGGGTGACATAACCTGCCTTCCCTTAATTTGCTCAAACTACATAGCAACTCAGTATCATCAAAGCCAGAACTAAAACTCAAGTGATCCTCATTCCTAGCCCTGCATTTATTCCATCGGACTATGTCGTCCATCTCAGCTAATGAGGTTTCATCATTTAGTGCTCTAGCGCCTCAGCAAGGACATGCATCTAGAGAGACAGCTGAACAGGTAGAGAGACTTGCTAATTTACTAGCCTGATTTTTCCTGGTTGCAATGTAAGCAATTGCTTTAAATAGCGTTCCAATAATAACCACCTTGCTGGCCAATGCAGTAGCACGTGTGAAAAGAAATGCAAGTCACTGACAGATTTTGGGCAGGGGGAAGAGGAGGAGTGGAATACCTATGAGTGGCTGATCTTTGTTTGCAAACAGGCTTCCATTTTATTTTGGGTTACAAAGCAAAGCTTAGAAACCTCAGCCTGTTATCTTGATGCAAGATATGTTTTAAGAACCCTATGAAGAGAGTTTTAGTGATTAAGGAGGGTTAGTCAGGCTTTTGACATTAAGAGTAGTAGATTACTCAGACGCTGTTAATGTCTGATGTACCCGGTACTGAGTAAAATCACTTACAAAACGTTGTACCTTGCCAAGTTTGGAGATCGGATTATGTTCATCTAACAGGGAAGCCTAGCGAGAGTTGAAAAACTGCAGCTTACCCAATAAACTCTCCTGGAAGTTTCAGCCAGAAACTAGAGCATCTTATACCTGAAAGAGCAAGGTGACTTTTGACCTTATGATCCCCCAGCATCTAGGAACCTTAATTGAACGACTGGAGTTATATTGTTGCAAGCTGCTTTCATTTGTGATTGGTCTAATTAATTAAAGGTTTTAGGATGGGGGTGGTAAGAAAGGTTGCTGATTTATCTTGTCTGTTCACAGGATAGGCAAATTAGTGGATTATTATTTTGAATGGAAAAAAATCTAGTGTTCTGAATGACAAATTAAAGTCTTCCTCTACAAAGGAGTAAAAAAGTTGAATTGAATAGGCAAGAGATTTCTCTGATTCAAAAGCATATGTAGTATCATAGCTAGCAGGCAGACAAATTAGATCCAAGAAGAGGTTTTAGCCTAAAAGTATAAATGGTAATTTGTATTATTGATCAAGAGATGCCATGAGTTCATTTTAAAAGATTAACATCTGCAGTAGATAATGACCCTAGAAATCACTGCATTGCTAACAAACTTAAGGGTAATAATTTGAAAAAATAGTTATCTATGAAAAGTGCTTTAGCACATGTGTTCAGCATTGTCATGTGTCCCTTTAGATCATTAACTACACCTTTGCTTTCCACACGGTATTGATGATCAAGAGCCAATATCATTTAATGGACCGAGCGCTAAACCACCAGTCCAGGAAGCCCCAATTTGGCTCTGCCACTAGTTAATTATGTATCCATAGGCAAAATACCTAATCCCCAATATCCCTTACCCATCCTGCAAAATAGGGATCATGTAGCAATTAATACATGGCTTCAGGAATTAAACAGAGCTGTATTATTATCATTATAAGAATGAACATGTTGGACATGCATGGTAAATATTTATAGACTTAAAAACTACTTTGTAGAAATATAGTACCAAACCACAAAACAACTTCACTGTTGTTACAATGCTGCAGGCCCGGGGGACCCACCTTTTTGTGCTGAACCCAGAAAGTAAAATCTCAGGTTTAAGTCCCTTTGCAGGATATAGCAATTGAGTAATTTTTTTTTCCCCCATTCAGTAGAAATCAGTGGTGAAGGAAAGCAAGCACACACACAGATACTTGCACACACACTAGCCATTTCACTGCAGCATGCTGCGTGTGTGATCAGTGTTAATATGGTAGAATTTGCTTATAGCGAACTGTGAACTCAGTCAGGTTCAGTGAAACACCTGAGTTACTTGAATCCACTGCAGTGAGCTGCACTGCAATTGAGCCATACTGTCAAACAATAACTTCACTCCGCTGTAATCCATTTACACAGTAGAACACACTCGTATGTCTTTAGCAGATGAAACGTAATGCTGATTTGTGGTTGGAAAGTTTTTCATTAAATTGGTTTTGACTTAAGCACTTAAGTGTTTTCCTCAAATGGTTGCTTAGGTGACACCAAGCACAGGTTTGAGCACGATGGAAAGAAATGCAACACAACCAGCACTCTCACAGTCCATGCCTATGGCAAGAATTCAATAGCCAGTTGTGTCGTTCGCCACGAAACCTTCGGAGAAGAAAAGCAGATGGCATCTTTCCGGTTTGAGCATCTCAGTAAGAACCTTTCTTATTTCAGCAGTTTCAGACAAGATCTGCCTATTGGGAAACATCAGGCAGTGGGTTAGGGCCCTACTCAGAGAACACACCCCTTAGCAGGAGCTTTAAAATGTACGATACTGGATAGGCTCATGGCTGCTAATGTAAGGGGCACTCCTGGCCAGCACCAAGTCAGTGCCATTGCACAGTTTGCACTGCCTGAATAACAGCTCTGCTCTTGGACCAGCAGAGATTCATTCTTGTCATTTGAGGTAGAGCAAAAGACTGTATTCCAATCGTTAAAGCTATTCTGGCTGTCTACACTCCAGTCCGTTTCAAAGTGAAGCAAGCTGTCTCATATATTTTGTGCACTAGGAGCATCTATGTAGCTCAGAGTAGCTAATGCACTGTAAATGCACGTTCCAGCTTCCTTCATGCTAATTGCCCCAGGTAGATGAGCCCCAAATCACCCCATGCCTCATTTTACCCATCTTTAATGTGGATCAAATTCTTCTCTGACTTGTATTGATATTGTTAGACCCAACAAATATTTGTAAAGAGCTTTGATCCCTTCAAATTAAAGGAATTAAGAGAAATTTAAAGCATTATCATTTTCCAGTGACTACTACAGACTCCACTACAGTGGCATTAGAAATGAGTATGAGGACCTCTAAGAATCATCATTATACAAGTATTTTTAAATAAAGCCATTGACCTTAACAAAACAAAATCCTTCATAATATCAATGACTGAAGGTCCTAATTTTAATGCATTGTCTGTTCCCTTAGGAACAGAAGAAACGGCTACTGAATCTATGACACTGCCATCTCCTGTTGGCAGATCTCAAGCAACAAGTGCCCAACAGGAAGATAACTCTTCTCAGATGACTGCTGGTTGGTTCCACATTTTAAAATCTTTTCGTTGCAGAAAATTAAACAATGTCAGTTTGGAAGCTGAGACAAATTAAAGCAATCCCAAGCTTAGAGGGGAAAGATCTGATGTTACCAGAATGAGTGGCCAGATGTGTACATGCTAGAAATGTTAATGGTATAATTTTAATGGTATGAACTGGACATTGAAGTGTCTTTGTCCATAATGCAAACAGAAAAAACAGTTGCTGCGAGTACAGCATATGGCTCACACCGTGTTCAGAACTGTCGTTCACCTCAAGTGACTGCTATAGAGTCCAACCCAAATATCAGTGCAGTTTTCTCTAAAATTTCCCCTGCAATTTATTGCTAAATATTTTAAAATTCAGTTTCTCTTTATTCCATATAATTTGGATGAAAAAAAAAAATGGTACAGCTGGCCTTAAATGAAAACCTTAGAAGCAACCAGCTTTGGAACTTGGAGAAGTTTAAATCTGAATTCATACATTGTGGGGTGGGCTTACTGGTGAAATATGCTCTGATTTTTATATCTTATTCAATGGATTCCTTTAGGGTTTGACCAGTCATCGATTCCTCCCTCCATAACAGAGGAAACATCTATTGTCAGCTTACCAGCTCTGCCTACTCACCAGAAAGAGCAACTAAATATCACCACTGCTTGTAAGGACCATGCTTTTTCTTGTTTTAAATGACATTGAGTCAATTTGTTTAAACTGACAAATGTGGAATACATGAAAATGCTAATGAGAGCAGTCTGATTGCAAAGTCCCTTGAAATATAAGAGTATAACACAATTGAGCAAAAGTGATTGTTTTAGAATTGCATCCATTGTAGAAAGATATTGTGGCCAGATCCTTAACTGATGGAAGTTATCATAGCTCCATTGATGAATCTGCCTTATGCTGTTGATATGATTGATTACAGCTATGAAGTTTTTAAATTTATCCTTATGGGTGCACTAGATGGCACTGTGCAACAGGCTAAAAGAGGGCAAGCATGTTCAGTGTGCCTGAAATGGCAGTTCTAGTCAAGTGCTAAACTACAAAATTGCCCCCATGTACAAAAAAAAAAAGAATTACATTACCAACGTGTGCAAATTCAGATTCTTCAACAGTAAAAGACCTCCTAAACCTGTAAGAGGTTCCCCCTGACTCAGAGAGATTTGGAAATAAATATTAGAAAGCTCTGTCCTACTGAAGTCAGTGTAATCTGTGCCTTTGAACTCCTCCCTCTATTTGTATAGCATCAGTTGATACAGCATGTAGACCAATTTTGTTATGTGTGTTTTGAGTTTTCCCTAGGCTCTGGTTGTACATAGTTTAGTTTTATCTGTGTAATTAAAAATACAAAATATTTCTCTCTATTTCTTTAGGGTCAGAAACAACATCAGGTGCAACAGTAAATGAGGAATTCTCTGGTACAGAAGAATCAGCAATTAGTGAAGAATATACTCAGAATTATAATGTCACCACAGGTATGCTTAATAATGAACCTCTTTTTTGCAGAGTAGCAATGAGCTTTAGTGAACTGGGTGCAGAGAGGGGCAGCAGGGTCTCTGGGGGAAAAGGGAAAGGAAAGGAAAAAAAAAAATCAAAACATTTTTTCTCATTTCACCTCTACAGAGCCACCAGGAACAATGAATGACACAGACAGAAAAAACAGCACAGATACACCAACCGTAAACCCTGAAGAAGTAACTCAAAACTACAGCACCACTGGTAAATGTCTTAAGACTAAAACAATAGCATCATTAGCAACATGAACTTGCAGCTGAGAAGCACGGCGTCCAGGGTCTGAGCATGCTGAATGATCTTACTTGGGTCACTGGGTCACTTAAACTCTACACTGAGAGCTTTAAATCTTCGCAAGGAATTTGGATCTAATTTGTAATGGGCATCCACATCCCACAGCTGATTTTGAAAAACTCGGTTTCCTGTATGGAAAACCAGAAATCAAATTACATGAACACAGGAATGATTTAAGACTTCACTTCAGTGGGTGGGTGGTGTCTCATATGCTGAAGGTGGAAAGTATTTAAAATTAAAAGTAGTTAATCATGTCTTGAGGTAAAGATGTCAGCCACTTTCTCCACTTACATTTTCCCAGTGCACAGCTCAGTAACATGGGCTGAGGGTGTGACTGTAGATTCAGCTCATCGAAAACAAAGTGATAATTCCTGTTGGCAAATGCAAAACCATTTGCTTGAGAAGAAAGTTGTTTTATTCATGTCTTCACTCACTAACTTTGGATGGGATGCTTAAAAATGCCTACATCCCATTGGTGTTCTCTTGGGTACTTTCCAAACACTCCCTCCCAAACCCCACAACAGCATTACACCCCAAGTAAGAATTTCCATAACCCATATAGAGAAGTTCCAAGTGTCACCAAATACTGATTTGATTAGACTGTGTAGCAGGTATGTACATAGCTCAGATATCTGTAAAGAGTTTGCTGAAGGGGGGAAAAAAATCAAAACATCTTCTTTTCTCACCTCTATAGAGCCACAAGGAACGGTGAATGGCACAGACAGAAAAAACAGTACAGATACACCAACTATAAATACTGAAGAAGCAACTCCGAACTGCAGCACCACTGGTACATTTCTTAAGACTAAAACAATAGCATTAGTGAAATGAACTTGCAGCTGAGAAGCAGAGACCCTAATTCTAATCAAATCTACAAGCTCAGGATGTGATGCTGGCCAAGTCTCTTAACACGCACACATTCCAGTTTCCTCAATTGTAAAAATAATGGTAATGCCACTTCAAACAACAATAATAACTGCAGATCCTTGGAGGTTTAACTACTTGAATCTCCTGCAGTGCTTTGAATATATATCATAATTAATATAAGCAAAAAGATATAAAGCCAGGGTCCACTACTGTAAATCAACATAGGACCAATAAATCAATGTTCCATAGGAAATTAGGAAAATCTGGCCCGCCTGCTTTCCCCGGAGTTATTACATGGGGAATCCCCGATCAGTACTATAATATACTAATTGTTGGGTGACTTCCTGATAAGGCTTGGCTGGTGAAAATAAACCTAAGTCCATTGGTTCCAATGGAGTTTTGCTGGTTTATGCCAGTAGATTTGGCACAATCCCCCTGGGTCATGGTGGAGAAGTGTATGTGGTTGCTTCTTAGGTTGTATGTATTTTCTGGGACCGCAGTCCAGAGCCAATAGGAAAATCTCCCATTGGTTTCAGGGGACTTCAGCTCTGAATCCAGTCTTCAAGACTGTCAATATGCAATGTACAGTCACCAATGATCACTGGTGGTCTAAAGTACTTCACATCATCTACCTTGTCTATTCCTTTATTTCTGTTGAACAGGCCTCTGCAATCCTACCATGTCACCTAGGAATGCTCTCTTCTTAGATAGTCCTCATCATAAACTCCCTAAGAATCACAGTTCACACTCTGACTGAAAATCATTTATTTCTTTGTTAGAAATTAAGATCAAGTCCGAAGAAATTGGGAACAGGAATAAGAAGCTTCTCCTGCCAATCCTGGTGTCTTTACTCATTTTGGGGCTGCTCATTATAGTCCTGCTTTTTATGAGGAAGCTGAAAAAAGCACATGGAGTGTGGAAGAGAGGTGAGTGACTGCATAAATGCCAGTCACCAATATTGCTGGCAGTTTTGGATGGTATTAGATGATGGAGGGGGCTGCTAATAGGACATGGATCTCTTCACCTCTAGGTCACTGGTTACAATGAAGTCTATGTCAGCAGTGATTGCAATTTGTTACATGCAGCTATCCTGTCTGAACTAGCCAGTGGGTTTAAGCCTCAGTCTCCATCACAAAAGTACACCCATCAGTCATTGGCACTAACTAGCTGCTCTTAGGCAGTCCAAGTACTAAATGGACATAGTGACTGAATCACCCTTGTAGGTGAGGATCTGTGCATGCTGGGGTGAGAGGTGCAAACATATGCAAGAGCCACAATTTATTGCTGACATTTGTTATCGTCACAGAAAATGATGCTTCGGAACAGACCCTGGAGAGTTACAAATCCAGGTCTAATGAAGATAACCCTGTCCCCGAGAAGAATGGGCAAGGTAAGCTATCACCAAGCCCTAGTTCAGTGAAGCTCCCCTGCTAGAGTTTTGCTACCAGCTTCAACCAGGGCCGGTTCAGACCAACCACATTTTATGATTTGCAGAAGCGATTCCATTAAGAGGAAACACAAAGCCATATCCTGTCTGCTGGGGCTTTCACCTTAGCTAAATGAACAGAAGTTACTTGCCAGTTCATTTGACTCACTGCGCACACTTGCACTTCACCAGCATTGCCTTTACCCAGCCGTTCCAGCCTCTTTTGGCTTCCTTGCTGTGAGCGGCATCGCTGGAATCTACATACACAGATGCAGCTTTCTGTTAAAATGCAGAGCTTCCTGAAAGTGGGAGAAAGTTTACCAAGTTTTTTATAAAGTTCATTTTTAAAATTAAAAAAATATTTATGGAAAAATATTACTAGGTCTAGAGCATGCATTTGGGGGAGAGAGGCAGCAAAAACCTTTTGAATGGGATTTTCACAGAAGCCTGAAGTAATCAAGACTACACATCCTGCTAAAATTCAGTGCAGGTTGGGCACCTTTGGAAATCCCTTCTTTATTCCAAAATGTTCACATTCAAATTATTTCAACCAGCTTCAATATAAAGCTCACAAGGCCATAAATCAACCTGCCCTGGCACATATCGCCGTCTTCTCAATGTCCGATGTGTCTGAAAGAGCTGATGAATGCATCCTGTAGTGATGGACATCCTAGCAATTTAGGAAATTTAGATCCTAGCAATTTGGGAATTCCTAAACTTGCTAGCACATCTATCACTTCAATACAGAATCACTACCTCTTAGAGAGTTATCAGCAATATCCCAGTTAAGATGCATTTTAGCTGAGATCAGTCCCTCTGTCAATACAATAAACATTTACAATTATGCTTTTATTTTCCAGTTTTTAATCAGAAGTCCTGCGTGCAATATGTAACTAATGGATATGCAGAAACTATAAAGAAGAAGCCAGGAGTGGAAGATGTTTCAGTATTTGTAACACAGCTGGCCTCTGGAAGAGAAACTGATGTATAGCAATTAGGATTTTAAAATGGCATTGTACTACGTACAGAGGCACAATGTTTTCTTCTCCTGTTTATAGTGATCTGTTACTGTGAAATACTATGAATCCATTTGATAATGTCACAACAGGATTTCAAACTGAGACAGAAGTCCCTGATAAAATGGCTAATCTCAATCCAGATTCCAGTTCAGATCATCTGTTAATGAAAAGAGGTAGATGAAACAGGTGCTGATAGGAATCTCCTGGTGACCTATGCTTTTAATGAGCTGTAAACTCCAGCAGATTCAATCTGTGGGTGTCGTAAATGGGGCCGAGATGTACCAGATTGCTGAAATGAGTCATTTGTGGTCCTGACAACGGGCATGCCCAGCTAGTTATTATAAACACAAGATACAAAATTACTGAGAGGTTCCTTCCACACTTCTGCAGCCTCCTGTCTAAACCCAGGACTAAGAAGCAGGGACTCCTGACAAAGTCACTTAGGTCAACAATTTTTAAACTGGGGAACCCAAAGAAAGCTGCACCCATTTTTCTCATAGCAGATTACAGCACTTCATCATAAAGAAAGTGTGCAAACCAGAGTTTTGATCAACAGTAGAGGGCACTGAGATTACTGCTGGAAGGCAATTTCCCTTTTGACATGAGGGCTGTGAGGATTTCATTATAAAAGGCTGTCAGCTTCCAGTCTATTTTAATATTGGTTTAACAATAAGATTTTAATTGTTTAATATTTAAACAGATGATAAGGCCATATAAGCAACCCTGGTTGGCTTGGTTTGTAAAATGCTGTTTAAGGATGAATAGTCATTTCTGAACAAATATATTTTAAATACTATATATCACTAGCATACAATACCCCCTTCATTATAAGGGGTAGCTTATGCACAGAAAGGACTGCAAGATCAGGCTATCTGAAGGCCTTTGAAGAAGTCTTTTAAGAAACAGTCTGCTTTCAGTAGTGGTAGTTCATCTACACGTTTCAATTTTACAATGAAACATTGTATTTTATCAAATGAATTACGATTATACTTAATATGGCTTGTTTATTTCTCTTACTTAAAGTACAGTAATACTTTAGGCATTACAAAACCACGGTCTTCACAGTAGGGACTGTATAAAAGCACATACATATTCCTATTTTACATACATACATATGTGTGTATGTATGTGTGTGTGTGTGTGTGTGTGTGTGTGTGTGTGTGTACACACGCACATATGTATGTATGTAAAATAGGAAGATGGGGGATACTTTTAACTGAGGTTTTGTTTCCAGCTGCACTGACTGATTTATCAGCATTGTTCTCTTCCTCCTTGTTCATAACAGACATGTTTGTTACATGACCTGTAGCTGCGATCAAACTCTGCCGTTTTTATTATTACAGTTTTCACTGATGAGCATTTTGTCTTCTTCTCTTAAAATAACAATAATGAGCTGTTTAGAATGACATTTTTTTAATAAACTGAATTTAAAAGTATAATTATGCATTTTTCTTCCCCCTATCTAAAGTAGTTTGCATGTCAGTGAATAATAAAATAGGTATACAGCTAATGATGCAGAAAAGAAAAATCACTAGTGGTCACAATGGTATACCACATATTAAAAGGAATTAGCCAAGTCTCAAGTCTGCCAAGCATTAGGATCGTGCAAAAATCAATATGCTAAAAGGTAACAGATCTGTCAGACTGGCATCGTCATCACTGGCATATTCAGTTATCAGTTGTCATGTAGTTAGGTACCTGCCATGACAGTCGTTTTTTTTGCATCCATCAGTTTTAATTGGCTGGGCTCACTGATACTTTGCTATTCCAATCCAATTAAAGAAAGGAGGCTTTGGATGACTCCATTCTGTTGCAATGACTGATCTTCAAATACATCAATAAAGAATAATTTAAGAGCTTGTTTAACCTTGAGCATATTTTTAATTGTTGCCTGCTTCCATAAATATGGTTTAAGCAACAGTGCTGTAGATGGTGAAAAAAGGCACAGTCCCATCCCCCAAAAACTTACAATTTTACAAAATACTTATGGACATACTTTACTTACACAAAAAGTTCCCTAGATTTAAAAGGGACTCTTCAGGTGAACAGCCTTCAGACGTGTGCAATTGCCTTTTTGACCTCAATTGAGCAACAGATGATACTGCGAAGCCAGAAGAGGGTGGTGATGCTTAAAGTGTCTAGTTGTGTTGTCATCTTTGTTGTAAAGGGCTTAATACAGTGGTTCCCAACTGGTTCGGATTTAAGACACCCCTCATTAGACTCAATACACACCATGGAAATTGCTAGCTCTTCATTTTCACCTGTTAAAATAAAGAAATGTTCCTGTTGTAAAGAACTCAGAAAGACCTCCGACAGGTCAGAATGTTTTTAACACTATGGATGACTATTTGAAAGCTCTAGGTTTATCTCGCGAATCATGTTTGCACGCTTAAAAAATGTTAACATTGTGTAGCACCCCATGGGATCTTTGAAATGATCTCAAGGCACCCTGGTTGAGAAACCACTGGCTTAGTAAAATGAAAAACAACAAAACTTAAAGCTAATTCTCTCATCCAGAAGTGTGACCCTAAATCAGTTTGACAGCTTCCACTGCACAGCTGTCCACAATACCATTAGGCGCATGCAGTGAAAGTAAATTAAAATATGTATAACGCATATTGTACCCTATTGCTCTCATTACACGGACTACTAAGTATCAGCAGATTTGAACTAATGGGCCCACTAATCTAAACCAACAACATAATCTCCTGTTACAGATCCCATCTGAAGTCACGGTAATTTACCATATTCTCAATGGGGTTTTGATCTTGTTGAAATGCTATTTTTACAATGCTCTCCCATCTGAGAGAGGAGCCTCCTCTCCTCTTCCCTGTG